TGGGTTATCTCTATGGATTTTCTAGTGGGTCCTAACAAACGGGTGTAAAATTCTGCTGTTTAAAAGGAAAGCTTAAACCAGAGTGTTTTCCTGACCATGACTTTTATGTGCATAAGGACAGCTCAAGTAAAAAAAAAAATATTGATGCATATGTGGCAAAAACAGCTATTCAGAGAGAACACCAGTAATTGTGTATGGATTTTGTCTTTGTGTAAGCAAAATTGGAAAAAAAAAAAAATCGAGAAAGGTTTGAAAATTTTGTGTGAAATTGTCCTATTTTGCTAGAAAAATGAATACGCAAAAATATCTATACACGGGATGCTTCATTTTGGATGAAGTGAGGTATTTCAGCCCTCGATTATCCACTTACCAGTTAATTCACACAGATTCGGTTCATCCTCCTTCCTCAGCTCTGCTGCGATGCTAACGGGCCATCTCTGTCATTCCTTTGCTATCAAACGCGAGGCTTGGTATCAGTGTCCACTAAGTATTAGCTCAAGAGCAAGGGAAGGAATTCATTTAATAAACATGGTCACAGGGGCAGCTTTTAAGTGGTGACACTGTGGTTTAAGAAGTTACCTCGTTCCTAAAGTACATGATTTCAGAAATATATGCTGTGTAACTCGTAACACACCATAGTAACAATAACCTCCTTATCTATATCTATCAGACATTTTAGACCATGCACCCATGAAAATCAATTCCAAACGTGTTTTGAATCAGCAGCTTTCACATTTCTTTCAGTCCAGCAGGCAAACTGCACGGAGAGTTGCTCTGCTGCTGTCTAAGGGTGCAGCGGAGGCCAAAAAGAGCCTAGCAAGAGCACTCTGATGCCTTGGATCATACAAATCGTATTGCCACCCCGTACTTATTTCAAATTACTTGCACAACAGCATCAACACAGGATCCGTACACTGAGTTCTTCCAAATTCATGTGTTTTTCCACTATATATCCAGATTTCTGCAATTAGTTTAGCCTAACCGGGCAGAAGCTTTTAGAGTAAGACAAGCTCACGGACCAAGTTTTGTGTATGTTACCGTGACAAAGTAGCTTACGTCCTGCGGCCTCACCTTTCTGCATCAGCTACCTGGAGCTGTCAAGTTACAGCTGTGCTCTCCTGCGGGTTCATGAACCAGCGCGTCTCTTGTTGAATGACACCGCAATTAGCAAGAAAGGGCAACGAGCCTGCAGCCAAGATGGCAGTCAAAGAAAAGAGGTCCTCTCCCCCAGGAGATCCCTTTGACCCTCTGGACTATTTTGAGAGCTTTTTTCCAGCCAGGTGGCTGCTAGTGGAAGAATAGAGTTCTTCACTGTTTATGCTCTTCTGTAGGAGAGCTGTTTGACTACCCGGCTTATTTTTCCTGTTCTCTATAAATGTATGCACAGTGAACATTAGTTTGAATGACAATTTTCAGGCTGCTGAGTAAAAAAGCAGCAACTCTTAATAAAAAGAGGCTTTAAAAGGACTGGGCACATGCGGCAGGTCACACGATTACTTTGCTATTACATTTCAGCTCTACATCACTAACAGCATTTTTACTCCCTCCACATGACAGACGGTATAGTGTTAATTTTTAACTCTGTGAATCAGAGAAAGACTAGTTTATTTGCTCTCTCACCAGTTAAGCACAATTGAATATAAAGCTAAGTTCTAACACCTGCACTGTTACATGAGGATGTGTCTTGAATAAATCAATGAACCAAACTGAACGGAACCAAAGTGGTTGAGTAAAGGATTTAGAACAGACTCCTCCACACACAACCCTCAATGTGTTAAAATACCGTACTTCTGTCCTACCCACCACAAAATCAACACCACAACTTTTACAATTAGCTCTTACCGTAGCACAGCTTAAATACGAACATTCATGGCACTGAAAACGGTGTAAGCTTTTTGCTTGCTGCAAGCGGAAATGTTTTTGGAACTTGCTACTTCAACATTTCTACCAGTAAAAGCCACCACTGAGTCTAAACTTCAGGAGCCGTCAGGTGGAAAGAGAAAGATCCCAATCGCTGCATCGAAGACCTCGAGATATTTAAGTATCTCCCTGTACTGATTCAACCAACAAAGGAACATCTTCCTCTTTCACTGAGCTCAGACATGCAGTGATGGCTTTCATCTTCCACAGGACAGGAAAACACCTTTCCAGCTGTGAACTGGCCATTTCTCTCAGTATCTTTTCCTGCATATTTATCCCTATTAAACTTTTAAGCCTGGTTTCAAATTTATTTTTGTAACTTATCAAAATCATGTCACCACTACTGTCCTTAGCAGTGACGCCACCAGCTATTTAGGAGACTATGGTGGTGTAGAACTTCACCAGGATAATAGCTCATGTAAGATTAGTACTAAGATATTTTAGGAGAGAAAAAGATAACTCAGTAGTTTTTCTCCTCACCTTTACTAGGAATCCTGTAGAAACCTCATATCTTAGGGCACCTAAGTGACAAATATTTCACCTATAACATTTCTTTAGCCTTTTGATTACTACAAATAACTTCTAGACTTGCACCATGTTAAGCATATTCTCCACATATAATAACATGCTTGCAAATGTAACTACACAAAGATAGCACTGCTCTTGTGATGCTCAGCATCACCACTTTAAATAAGTTTTTACGGAATTTATTGCAAAAAAGAAATTCTGGTATATTCCGTAATGAATTAATAACATCTAGAAATTAATAGCCTCTCTGAATTAAAACAAATAGTACTTCCCACAGAGCAGTAATCTTTGCTAAGGAGGCAGATGTGACCTTACATACAACAGCTCTTCTCATGTGTTTGTTTCTTTATCCTAGAAAGGAATTCATTCTGTAACACTGCAAGTTGTTTTGTTTTTTATTATCAGAAGTACAGTTAATCACACTGTATTCACAAATTTTTATTTCATAGTAGCAAGTTAATTAATCATGGTATAGCTCTTCTGATGTGAGGGAAATAGAACTGGAACAGTTCTAGCCTCTTTTGAGAATCAATATGTATGAGAAAATTTTATTTAGAAAAATATCAGGAAATCATACCTCCCCTCAAATTCTGGCATGAAACATTAATATCAGTGAAGTCAAGGCAAAACTCCCACTATCTTCAGTGAGATTTCTGCCTCGGGCTGAAGCTGTTGAAAAAACACTGTAAAAGCCCTTTCCAGGACAAAACTGTAAAGGATATGGACTCAAAAACTAGTGTCCCAAGCTTAATTCGGATAGCTGCCTGACAGCTCCCACCCCTTATAAAACATAGAAAGGCAAGTACAGCAAAGTCACCTGAAGAAAAGATAGCATCAAGAGTCTTCACTGTAGTTAAAATACATGTGAACCATTTCACAGAATCCATTTTTCTAATATTTCTCCAACAAAGTTCTCCATAACAGTGTACTCTACGGTCCAGCGAGACACTAACCCTCTTTTATCAAATGAGCTAATTTGTGTTCTGCAAAATAATTGTACTTTGCAAACAGACAAGACACGTTGCAGCTTCTCAAGCATTTTTAATCCTCTTGATGAGAATGAGAAAAAAAAATCAATAGAAGACTTTGAAGTAATATAGCTTTCTTGGACAGTAGAGAGGAGGTCAAGAACTTGGGCTCTGGAAATACTGCACAAATTCCACGACAAAGTGATAAACAAATCCTGCCTCAAAAGTCATACACTTCAACCTTGGAATCTGTACAGGCTAGAGCCAACAGTGATGACAATGATGGTAGGTGAGCAAGATAACCTCTCAACTGCTGGCTTAGTGAGTGAATTTAGAGTAGACAGCACTCACTTCTCCAGTGGAAAGTCTTCCTCACTTCCACCTCCGTGATCCAGCAAAGTTATGGGCTTGCAGCAATCATTAACAAAGATACAGGCACTTGGTAAAGGATCTGGTTCTAAACCCATTAAAGCCAATAAAAAGACTTTGGTGATAACTGGCTTAGACCCTTAGTAGGGAACAGAAGTACTATACAAACCTAGAACAAGTTTGAAATCCGTATTTGTCAGTTAACATTGGAAAAAGACACAATGATTAAAATCCCTAGCTATCTGACAGGAAGCTAAACCTCTCAGATCATCACCTTGTGCAGGCATTACCCAGACAAAAGTTGCACTAAATTTTGACTGAGCCAAGAGTG